CCGCATTAGTCTGATTCAGTCTGTAGACTCTAGCCGACCGTGGTTTGGGTTTCATCTTGAACAACTCGGACAACTGTACATCCAAAATGAGCCAAGTGATGGAACCAAACTGCTACTTTTATCCTCAAGTTCGCTTGATGCTGTGAATTTGAAATGATCTCTATTGATTTGGCATATCAAGCTTGGATTAGCCCGTTCGATTGTTCAGCGGCACCAGGCATTCTTGATGGTCTTGAGTGTGGGTTTCACGCCTTGAGAGATCGTTAGTTTTCCACGAGATAAATGCATTCAAATGCAATGAAAATAGTCGTGATAATCGACACAAAGAGCACTGGGGACAGCTGTTTCGTCCTGTCCGGGACTCGTCAACATTGCGTGTACATTTTGTGTCCTTGTCAGGACGCGAACTGTAATTCTTCGGGTTGGAACTCCAAACCCTTAGCCCTGGGCTACACGGTCGACGGTTATCACCTTGAGCAAATGGCTAAATCAATTCAGAGTATCAAGTTTGGTCTAGCCAATGCGATTGTTTGGAGGCACCAGGTACTCTGGATGGTCTTGGGAAATAGAAAATAATGTGAGCACTGGGAGCGCATGGTGTCTAAATCCTGGGTGGGTGAGCATCAGAAATGCTTTAGCTCCACAGCTCTATTCAGAGAGAGAGAGAAACAATGCGAAACTTCATTCTGACTCACTCATCAATCGAAATTCAAATAAATATTGTCTGGGTAATTCATAGTGCCCGCGCGCGCGTGAAAAAAAAACGATAAACCACCCATTGTCTGACCAATATGTTTATCATTCTATGGACTTGGAAACGACGGGGAAAGAAGGTTATCCCTTGTCTACATACACCTCTTATCGGAGAAAAATAATTAAGCAACACTGTGATCAAACAACCGGTGCTTATGGATATTGTGGTGTCTTTGGAAACGCAACTAGCTTCGAAGAAAATGGACTGATAAAAATAGTACAGTGTTTCTTTTTTTTAATTTATTCCCGAAAACAGGATTTTCGAATATTAACTAGAGAAAGGGTCGCACGACAACCAGAACGCTAGTTGTTATGACATTGTTGCATCGATCGAAAAGCCAAGACCAATCGGTAATGAGTAGACCGGGAAACGATCGGTTATTCCTTCATGCGACCCTGGATAACCGAGTTTCCCCTATTGTCAACTGTCATGAATACAAGTGAGTTGATAAATTATCGTAGCTGGGATGAACTGAATTCCATTTCGCTTGCTCATATGGAATCCAAGTGGCCCACAAACCCACTACCTGTCTCAAGAGACTTTTTCTGTCATAATCAAAGGAGAGAACAATGGAGAAGGACAAGAGCAGTGTTACCTACAAAATAAACTGCAATAACTGCCCAAAACACAATATCGGACAGACTGGAAGAAAGCCGTGAACAAGCATCCGTGAACACCGATCGGCAGTCAAGAGATATGACCCACTATCGTTGATTTCCTTCCATGAAGATCAAAGACATCAAGTTGACTTTGAATCAATGAAAATTATCGACCAAGCCCGGTCGAAACACGTTACAGAATTGCCCGAGGTTTGGCACACTTCAATCAACTCAATAAACGGCACATCGAGATGGATAACGTGTACACGCCAATGCAACTGAAGGATCAAAGAACGCAACAAAAAAGGTTACGCCGTGACCTGAGAACGGAACGGAATCGCAATGGGGACGAGAGGACAAATTCATCCCCTCTAACCCTCACCCCCTTGCACCAGTTTACCGGTGAATAGAGTGAGAACAAAGGATAAAAATAGTCGGTGGAGAAGAACACAAAAACGGACGGGTCAAGCATAACACTGCCACTTCACAAGCACTGATGATGTCAACTCGGCTGGTGATGAAACGTTTGCAAACAAATTCCAAGTTCGGCGAATAGGCGAAATAGAACACAATTGCGTAGTATGTTTGCGTGCTAATAAACATTACGTTAAATATTTCGAAGCGAACCATCATTACCTTCGAAATTGTGCAACCCAAAATGTGCTGCTCTGTACTACCACTGAAGTCCCTCAGACTCATTTTGTACTGAACTACTGGATCGACTTTACTCGAGCTATATGAACCATCTCTTACATTTCTCGAGTCCCCGCTGCAAATCATACACTCAAGAGCACAAATACAAATTAAACATTGATCAGAGCTCATTACGGACGCTTAGTCGTTGATTAATCCGGGGTTCGAACCCCGGAATCACATATCAAACCGGCTCATTTATTACACATTGTCACTGATCAATAAGCTAAGGTTGCAATGCAGATGAAATTCTATGATAAACAACCAAAAGATGGGTAAAACAGCGGTCACCAAATTATGTAAGGAAGCTGTAGGATTGATATGATTATTTTGTGGCTTCAATTACCTAAAATGAGACGTTACAGTACTCCGACCGTTTAAATTGGTTCTACATTCTGAGATAAGCGCATATGACTAGCTACGTTTGAGTTCAGAATAGGGCTCCGCGAGTTCATTTATTATAGTATCTCACCCCAAAATGCTCGCTAACTTTCACACACACACACGCACACACACACACACAGTCGATCCGTTTTCGGTAACTTGGACGTTTGCCCTCGTCGAAAAGGGCGGATGAACCGATAAAGAGTAAACCGAACCCCATCCACCCAATGGATTGCGGTTTCCACACACCATACCGCGGCCTTGCGGGTCAGGTTTTGGCTAGCTAAACGATTACGATAAGGGATTACATAAGAGAAATTACGTTCCTTGGAATAGGTAACATGGCAGTGTTCCGCAAACCAGCGTTTCGTCGAAAAATTTTACTTGTCACAAAAGCAATTGTATCGTGCTTACTTTAGCAGATAATCTGCCGTCACACGTGTGTCAAAAATATATATATATAAATATATATATATAAAAAGCACGAACAGATGCACAGGGACCACTGTTTGCGACACCCAGCCATATCGCCCAGTCTCTCGAAACATCAGTTACGACCACCCCGAGGTCCCCAGCCAGGGAGCCTAACGGGACCTACGTGAACC